ATGGCCTAAGAACAGTTCCGGCAACTAATTACGGTCCCGGACCTTCTGGAATAATGACTTCCAGACTACCTCCCACATCGACACCTACCTGCTTGCCGGGTGTACAAAATAATACCAACTCTGTCGCAGATCCTCCACAGAGACCAGTGCAATTCGCGGGAAACCAACTACCCGGATATTATCCTCCGGCTTTCAATCAAACTCTTGGATATGGACAATATCCAGCCGAAAATAACTTCCGAAATACGGGTTATGGATCTCAGGCGCCTAATTTCAATTCACTAGGCCCAGTTCCAGGAGTTGATCGAGCTCCCGGAAGACACGGATATTACCCGCATTTCCCACCAAGACTAGATCAACCACCAAATAATCATCTTTCTGCAGCACCAGACCAACATTGGTATGCGTGGAGAGCATTTATGGAAGCCCAGCGAAATCCTATACCCATTCCAGAATTTTTTGGAAAGGAACACGCGGACCCGATCAATTTCTTACGGGAAATGAACGAGTACTTCCAGTTTTTAGGAACACCTGAAACGAACAAAGTGCGTATGGTTGGTCGAGCTCTGTTCGGCGAGGCTGAAAAATGGTGGGACTTATACAAAGGAGTTCCTTTCGAATGGAACCAGTTCCAGGACCTTCTGCTGCGCCAATATAATTCCCCTGCGATTTTGGGGAAATTACAAGCTCAATTGTACTCCTCACGGCAAGGACAAAAAGGACGCAGTCGGAGTATTCCTTCAGAAGAAATATCTACTTTTCCGGAGATTGCGACCCGGAGAAAACGAGGAAGTTATGGTACACACCTTAATGGAACTTCTAAAACCAGCAATTCGACATGCAATACGTGCCTCAAATCCGTTGGATTGTACTACATTACTCACCAGGGCAGTAGAAGCCGAAAGAGACGAGTTGGACCTTGTGCGTAGTCAACCGCGTAAAGAAGAAAAGAAAGTCATCGATAATTCGGCCGTCAACAAGAAATCTCCTCCAGATTGCTGGTACTGTCCTGAAAAGCATTACCATCGGGATTGCGCAGTTTACAAAAAACAATTGGAGGAACGCAAAAACGCAGGTCAGGAAAACTGGCGACGGGCGGTGGACCCACCGACCACCGCCAACCATAAAACCAAACCCTAACTTCGTTATACTTAACGATCCAAAATCATCGCAAATTACCCCGGGTGCTGACTTGTACCAACGATGAGGAGATAGTTGCGATAATCGACACAGCAGCAACTGAGAACTTCATCCACCGTTCCAAATTAAATAAAAAGCAACACGCATGTCTCGCCCCGAGTTTCGACAAAGTAAACTTAGCAGCGCCGGGTACGAGCGTAAAGATTTTGGGCCGAATCACACTTTCCATTCAAATCAATTCGCATGTTATGGAGGTGCAGTTTTTGGTCTGCGACCAACTAAGGGAAGAGATGATTTTGGGTTTACCTTGGATGGAAGATCAGCAGACAATAATCGACGTTCCGGGTAAACATATCTACGCGGGTAAAGATAAAAGATTTACCATATTTTTTCATCAACAATCAAAACAGCAAAACCCGATCAGCGTCGAAAGCAAAACAGCGATGGACCAACTTAGTCATAACTTCCCAGTAGACTATGAAGACGAAATTCTGGAGCCAATTCATCGCTATGCTAGCACAGTTGCGCCCGGTCCTAGTTTAACCCAAACACGTTCAACTAGTCATAAAATCGAGTTGACAGATACTCGACCTTTTCGATTAAGACCATATCCATCGTCCGCGGAAAAGCGAAAAGAAATGTTGGATCAGGTTCAGAAAATGCTTTCCAACAGAGTCATCGAGCCGAGCACATCGCCTTATTGCTCCCCCGTGGTTTTAACGAAGAAAAAAAATGGAAAGTTCCGATTTTGTGTGGATTTTTGTCGATTGAATTCCATTACGCAGGACGTGAACCATACCCTGCCGAGGATCACCGACTCCTTAAAAGAACTGGGAAATGCAAAGATCTTCTCTGTACTGGATTTGCGATGGGGATACTGGCAGGTACCAATGGACGAGGGCAGCAAAAAATTTACTGCTTTCTCGATTCCTAACGGCGGCACTTACCAATTCCGCGTAATGCCTTTCGGACTCAAAGGTGCCCCTAATACATTTCAAACCCTGATCAGTCAAATCGTTTTGCGAGGATATGTAAATCGTTTTTGCATGGCATTTCTGGACGATATTATCGTCTACTCACAAAATTGGAATGAACATATACGTCATCTAAACCTAGTATTGGAGCGATTAGAGATTCACGATCTCACATGTTCCATCGAAAAATGTTCCTTCGGCCAAACCGAATTAAAATATTTAGGCCATCAAGTTTCAGGCGAAAACAATGAGCCTCAAGAACATCATGTACAAGCGATTGTTCAAGCAGCTCGTCCAAGTAACAGAAAAGAGCTACAGAAGTTTCTGGGTGTTTGTGGTTGGATCCGCGAATACGTACCTGATTTTTCCATGTTATCCGCTCCGCTCACAGACCTACTAGGAAAGAAGGCCGGAAAATGGAAATGGACGGAAGAAGCCGAAAACGCGTTTATTAAAATCAGAGAAACTTTCCAAAAAGACCTTAGCCTAGGACGTCCAAATCCCGACTTGCCCTTACATCTACAAACCACAGCAAGTTCCGAAGGGATGGGGGCAGTACTTTTTCAAATCGATAACAATTCTCGAAATGTGATCAGTTATGCCAGCGCCAAATTTAGCTCCACTGAGAAGCGTTATCCTAAACCGGAACAAGAATGTCACGCGATTGAGTGGTCCTTCAAGCATTTTCGTCCGCAGTTGGAAACAGCTCCTTTTCACCTTCATACAGACGAAAAAGCTCTGAAATGGTTACAAAGTTCAAAGGAAAACACGTCCAAATTAGGTCGTTGGGCACGTTTTTTGGACGAATTTTCCTTTACTGTCCATTCTCGAACAGACGCGAGTCACGAATTAGCCGCTGCTCTTGCGCAGAATCCAAACGATACACAGTGGGAATTCGAGGAAGATAACCTCCTTCTTCCTCCGGAAATCACCCCTCAATTCGACGAACCTTTTCTCGCACAATTAACGCCACCAAACTTCTTCGAAGAAGTAATCGCTTCCCAGCAAGAGGATGAAGACATCATCAACCAGGTACAACGCTGGAAAAACCTGCAAAATGAAGAAACTCGAAATAAGGTTGACGAGTTGTTTTTAAAGGAACATATCCTATCGGACGAAGGATTTTTTCGTCGCAAAAATCCCCAAGATCCATGGCTTCTCGTGGTACCAGAAGTTTGTCAGCAGAGACTTCTGCACGAGTATCACGACGTTAGCCTAGCTGGTCACCCAGGGGAAGAAGAGACATTGCGCGCGGTCCAAGAGCTCTTCACTTGGCCAAAAATGGTTTCACAAATAAAGGACCACGTAAAAAGTTGCACCCTTTGCTCTTGCTGCAAGTCTTTTCGATCGCAAAGCAACGGCGAGATACGCCCACGCCAACCAAAGGCCCCGTGGGATACGGTTGCAGTCGACCTAATGGGACCATACCCCCGTTCGTCAAATGGAAAACAATTTCTTCTCGTCGTTACAGACCTTTATTCTCGGTGGGTGGAAGCTTTCCCACTAGGATCCTCAAAAGCTCCGCGGATCACCTTCTTGCTTGAAAAAGAAGTGTTTCATCGGTTTGGTTATCCTAGAGTCATCATCACCGACAACGGCCCCCAATTTATCGGTCAGGTCTGGGAAAATGCATGTGCGAAGTGGAACTGCGAAAGTTGGCACACCCCTCCTTATCATCCGCAGGCAAATCCGACTGAGCGCAGGAACCAGGAGGTGAAAAAGGGTATGCGATTGCGACTCATTAATGTTCCTCATCGAAAATGGGAGGTTGACATCACCGATATCTTATTTAACATAAGAAATCGGCGAAACGCGGCAACCGGACGGACGCCTAGTCAAGTCCTATTTGGAACAAGCGCAAAAAGACCTGGAGAGTGGATTCTACAAACCGGAAGAAAGGAACCAAAACAATTAGAAGAACGCCTCCAAGAAGTCAATCAACATCAAATGGCTTATCAAAAGAAATACGCTGTACCACCAAAAACAAACAACAAATTACCTGTTGGTGGACTCGTTTATGTACGAACACACCGGTTATCCAATAAAGAGAAAGGGTTTCACGCCGGTTTAGCTCCCCGTGGAGAAGATCCTTATGTAATAAAACGTCATTGTGGAGGTGAAGTCTACGAAATCGATTTGGAAAATCGAGTGGCAAAAATTCACAGCAAGGACTTGAAACGTGCATATCTTCGGGAGAGAGTAGAAGACAATAACACCTTGGAAAAATTGGACCGAGAAATACAGCAGGAGAAAATTCCTAAATTACCGGAGAACTTAACAACAAATAAAGAAAAACATAAATATAATCTGCGCTCTCGAGACAGAAAAATCCCAGAAGCAGAGAACAACAATTTTCCTCATCTCGATAAAGCGGTGAAAAAGAAAGGCAAAACGAAGCCTGCAAGTAGGCATTACGACCTACGTCCGCGCTAGTGTAGAAACGAAATACTCTCCCCACCTCCTTACCACTGCAACTTGACGCAGTGGGCGGAGCTATTGGTCCTCGAAGTCCAAACGCGCTAAGCCTTTACTTCAGTATTAAACAGATCTATTACCAAGAAAGTGAAAAAAAAATCGCGCAACGCAACCAGTATTGGTATTTAATTAAACGAAAAAATAATTTTTTAGTATGGACGCGACAGTTGTTGAGGTGAACGCAATTCCCCCCGAAAAACCCAAAAAAAAGCCTAGCCAACACAAGCGTAGGACAGAGATGAGGAGAAGAGCTTTCGAAGAGCAGCGACGAAATCCGGACATTTATGTCCCGATACCGGTAGGAAGACACAGGAAAAAAGGGAAAAAACTCAGGTTTCGAGAGAGATTTATTCCCTGCAAAACATTGACCCCCACCCAAAAGTGACCGCTCCAATTATTACGCCTAGCCCTATGGAATTGTCTGACCAAGAAGTAGAGAAAAGTACCCCTGCGATAGTTCCTGTTACACCCGAGGTCACTGTAGTAGACAAAACTTCGGAACCGCAAGTTCCTGTTCTAGAAAAAAATTCGTATACCATTGAAGAAGCTCTCGAAATTCTTGCCACCCCTCCGAGAGAAGTCGTCGCACCTCAAACTAAAACCCCAGAAGAGGACTTAGATATTCTTGATTTAAGAACATCACCCGTCCAAGTTTCACCGCCTCGCCTCGCGTATTATCGGGTCGGTGAACCAAATCATCCTTGTGTTAAACTCCCCACCTTATCACCTAAGAAAAATTCTAGTCCTTCTTCTCGATGGAGAATCACGCGAGAGCCAAAATTAAATGATTTACGTATCACGATTCGCCGATACAGCCCCCCAAAGAAAATTACTCCCGTGAAACGAAGGGTGTTCAGGGAGTGGCGACAGACCATGGAAATCACCCATTTAGAAGATCCGGACAAAAGGAAGCGACCACGACCTCCTCCAAAGGAAACGACAAGGAAACGGCGGCGAAGTCCCTCGCGCACGAATAGGAGAAAATCCAGCATAACGCGATCACCACGAAAAAAGAGCGTACCGAAACGTCCGCACAAAAGTCCTCAATCCCCGAGAAAAAATGTAAAGCGCGATAAGCCACATTCCCCGCGTTCTACATTACCGCGAGCTAGGCCCTCAACGTATAGAACGCCGAAGCGACCGAAGTTGGGATTGGTAAACCCACCAAAATTAATTCACAATGCAAAACGAATTTTATTCAGTTAGATCCGTACAATGTTTTATTTTATTTTTACTCTATTTATTTTAATGTTATTTTTCCTTTTTTCCTATTTTTTACAGGTTTTACATTTTTTCTTTCGCATTTTCTTTTTGTACTTACTGATCGTAGAAAATGTTTTTTTTTTTTTTTTTTTCCTTTCTTTTATTTTTCCACAACGTGACTACGAATTATTGTTATTTTCTAATTGCGGTAGAATAATTTTTTTTTTTTGTTTATAGAAAAACTTTTGTCTGTCAGCGCATTACACTGTTATTTTACGTCTACATTTTCTTTGTGTATTATGACAATAAGTTTTCCCAAATGTTCTTAGTCTTCGACTATTTATATATGTATGTATTGTTTTTTTTCTATTTTTATCCTTGATTATTTGTGGAAATGCCCAGGTTGTAAAATTCGAAATCATCGCCCTTACTCAGGACAGACCCCGTGGAATTGATAACTGCAATTTAACAATAGTTTTTATCATTAATTTATTTAAATTATTAATAAGAAAATGTAATAAAGTATTCTGTCCTGAGCGAAGGCGAAGATTCCGAGTTGGGGGAAAACTACGTCAGGCTGGCCCGCGTGACCGCGTCAGCCAATCGGAGCGTCGCTCGCTCCCACCACGCGCTTCCCCACTCTGCCACGCTGCAGAGCTCAGAGACCGAGCAGTCTTGGTCTTGGTCTTGGTTTTGAACTAAATTTTTGTTGGAAAAAAGGGTTTTTTTATAGTCGTCAAATGTAATTTCTTTTAAAGCTGATGATCTGACGCCTTTAGCTTTTTTCTTCTCACGATTTTCGTTTAATATTTTATATGAATACAATTTTGACCTTAATCCAATAAACTCGGTGACAATTTTTCCATTGCATTCATCTTTCATTAAACCGAGCCCTTTTCTATTTTTTAATTCTATACTACAGCAATTATTTTTTGGGTAATCAGAAGTATCGAAATTTTGCGAATCTCGTTTAATATAATCATACATGTTTGGAATTTTAATGTGATAAATTAAACTATCAGTATCTGTGTACAATAATTTACATTTATCAGCGAAAGTTTTTTTTAATATAATTATAATGAAAATCGTAAAGATACAGTTTTGATATATCAAGAATGCTAAATCCAACATAAATAGGTTTATTAAATGTAATTTGAACTTTATTCATCTTTATTATAACTAAATTTTCTTCTAAAATATAACAACTGTTGAAATTCGGTTTACTAATAAGAGCTTTTGCCCCATATCTACCTTCCCATTTTATAATAATACGAATATCTTTATGCTTTCTTATATTCTCCATCGTTTTCCCGAAAACAGAGTTATTCATTAACTTGTAAAAATTCTTTTCAAATATATTTGTCGAGTTTTTTCGGAATTCTGTATTTAAGTCAATATACTTTTTTAGCCATTGAGATTGCTTAAATTTTAATATTCTATGAATTTTTGTTAATTTCATTCCAAGTTGTAAATAATATTTTAAATTTTTATAATGAATTACGTATTTTGTTCTGGAAAATAAATGTGGTATTAATTTAGGTAATTTGCTCCCTGCAGCAGGGGGAATAAAATGTTCTGGGCATAAGGGCAAATCCTTGTGCAAATCGTGCAATTCTTCAGGATACGTAAAGTCTACTTCTAAAATATATCCATAAGGAGAATCATCATCAATTTTATTCACATCAAATCCTGATAAATTGGTTTCCCATTGAAAATCCGAATAGGGTAAAAAATTACTCATTGCTGTGCCATACAAATTATTTATATCAAAGTACATTATATAAGACTCTTCAATTTCTGAATTAAATTCTGACCCCATGAATCGATTGTTTGCTTTCGCGTACCTATTTGAGCATTGAGAAATTCCTCCGCGAATACCTTTTTCTATAAAAAGTAACATTTCAATATCTCGCAATAACTCTAACTCTATTTTCGTGTATTTTAACATAGCATCGAATGCAAGTCCTGGTGCTGTAAAATAGTGTAAGGGATCTAAATTATATGCTGATAAACATGTTCCTAGAAAATTTTCAAAAATGTCAGCTAAAAGTAACACATCTGTTTTTAAATATAAATCAGAATATTCCCCCAAATTATTTAAATTAAATGTATTCCACACTTGACAAGCATGCTCATAATCTTCATTTGATATACTTGAATTATTCAATTTTGAAAAAAATTCTTCTATGGGCGGCAATTTATTTTCCTCTAATTTTAACCAACTATCAATATATTCATACGGGAAAACCCCTTTTCTGACTAGTAAATTAAATTCATCAATGTTATTGCAATATTTTGCAGTAGTTTTTTTTTTGTCATTGTTTAAAAAAGTCGCCAATTTATCTAAACTACTAGGCATAAATCTAAACGAATCTAAAAATTTAAAACATACACTTTTACCATCTACATATTTAGTGAACGAAATATGTTTTTCTTTATTTATGAGTAAAAGTTTCACATGTCCTTCAAAGCTAGTGCACAATTCTTTAATAAAAAAATGTGCATCGTATCCTGATAAATTGTGAAAAACTACAGGAATCGAATGGGAATTTTTATAATTAATGTTACAACCCTGATGAGCTGCTCCTCTATATTTTCCAGTGAAATGACAGTGATCCCGATGTTTAGTATCATTATCTTCAAATGGATTTTCACAAATATGACAAAGTTTTGCAGTTCTAAATTCTAATTCTTGCTGAAAACTTAAAGTTTCCATTGGTACTATTTCTTTTAAATATAAATCAACTAAATCAGCAATAATTATTAATTTTTTCATGAACCATGAAATGCAATCCTGCTCTCTATAAGATTCAAACACTCATAATGAATCATCAAAATCACATTTTAAGTAATATGCAACACTCGTCGGAATATGTTTCCTATAAGCCCCAGATATTACATCTTTATCATTAAAAGGTTCTAAAAGACTTTCAGTATCGGCATAAAGTACAAATGGCACCTATTCTTTGTATCTGAAATTTTAAAATTTTTAAACATTCTCCTCTTCTGTCGGTAAAATAACCTTACACTCATTTAAATTCATGCAGTCTGTTTTATGTTTCAGAAAAGAATTTTCAAAATAAAAATGACATAAACATCGATCACATATCCAAGTTCGACCATTATTTTTTGTGAATTGCGACTTTACCAATCGCGACAAATTGCGAATCCACGCAAAATGATAATTATTACCATTATTAGTAAAATTGTTTATTTTTTCACTTTTATTTATTGCAGAAAAATTGTCTCCTTTTTTTATCATTAATAAATGAATAGTATCTTTTTTAGAGAAATTATCACTTAAATAAAAAGGGACAATCTCTTCTTTATTTTTACCAACTTTTTCCAAACCATAAATATTTATTTTCAAACTGTTCATTTTTTCAAATTTAGAAACATCTTTTAAACTTATAGGAAAATTTATTCCCTCATATTTTAAAACATTCCTAAAATCTGGATTAGAACTAATCAGATTGGCGTTATTTTTAACTGGAAACAAAGTTGCCATTACTGACCAAAGAAAACAGTAATCGTACGCATTTTTTATATTCACAACAGCATTTTTTCTAATATAAATTTTGACATTTCCGAATTTTCCGAACAACCTACTTGAATTGGCGCATGTCTATTTATGTTTACCATTAAATTTAATATTTCCTTCAATGACCAACCTGACTTATTTTCATTAAATTCTTCAACTTCTTTAAGTAAATATTTATTTATTTCATCAAGAATTGCATCCAAATCTGAGAAAGGAAAAATAATTTCATTTTTTGTATTAAAAGATTTTTTTTCTTGTATATTTTCACCGCTTTCAATAGTTGTAAAATTGCCCATTAACACAAAATTTACTTTTCAGCTACTATTTTCTCTAAAGGCCTTTTTTAAACGAGATTTTATTAATGATTTCGACTCTTCTAAAAAGTCCAATAAATATTTGTGTTTTAAATTAATAACCATTCCTGTTTTAATTCGATTCTCAAAAGCTGACTCTAAATTTTCCCATTTTAATCTTCTTTCTTCTTTTCCTATGATACCTCTACCAGTTTTTTGAACTTCTTTGAATTTTTCGCTAATAGTTTTTAAAATCCCCACAGTTGTTATAATTCTTTTTCTTTTACTTACATTAATCAATTCTTTTTTTGATTTCAAAATTTTATTTAAAAGACTAATATTTGTCATTGCTAATTTCAACCACTTTTCCGATTCAAATAATAATTTTTTTTTACTTTTAATATTTTTTATTATGTCAAAAGCATTCTCCATGATTGCAATAAGTTTATAAAAATCTATCGAATCCATCTTTTTTTCCGTTCTTTTCGTTAGTTAAAAAATAAATTTTTTTTCTGATCACAAAGCACGCACAACCTATCAAGCAACTTGTTTATATGTAACTAATAATTATTAACAAACGTTCCCTTAGTTTCATACTAATTTTCAAGGTTAAATAATTTAAAAAATGAAATTGTTAAAAACAATCCCTGGAAATACATTAAATAAACATTAAATAAACATTTCCTTTCTCACGGTCTGATAAAATGAAATCATATGATGACTAATATTCTAATTAAAAAAAAATATCATTCCAAATAATACTTCCACCAAACTGAGATAAAGGCCCTATTATTATTATTACTCAGATTCCAATCGAAAAATCAAAAACATTTTTTTGTTTTATAGCTTTTCCTCAAAGTACAGTAACAGTATACTCGCTATTCATCCAGCTGAAAAGTTGGAGTCTAACCGATGAGATAATAAAACTCCGTACTCATATTTTAGACCGGCGATCTCCGAAAGAAATAAAACTGTCAACGTGTGAAAAACATTAAAACGTTCTGTTTTTAAAGATTTCTAATCGCTCTAAGATAAAAAAAAATTTGATACCCCCAAAAAAAACAAAAGAGCATAATATACTAAGAAATTAAATTACGTAATTTCTAAAGAATGTACCCTTTACTGCAAAACGCAAAAGCAGATAAAGCTTGCCGGAAGTTATAAACTTT